CATTGGTATGGATTTTAAGGTCAATTTTGTTATATGTATATATATTTCTGATCTTGACTGATGTATTGTGATTGTATAGTTCATTTAAAAATACAATGTATAATTAAAAATATAGGTTGTTAATGGATAATCATCGATAATAGTAAAGCTTGTAGTAATGTTAGTCTGACTTTCTAGAAGTGCATAGATATATTTCAGATAGACATTCATATCTTTCAAAGACTACAGAACATAGCATTTAATGTTTTAATAACTTAGGACCTTTCATGACAATGAGACACGTCTGCTCCTGGCAGCACCAATCTACTTCAAGAGGAAGATGGGCATCGAAGAGGCTCCTTATGGAGTTGGTTAGCCATTTGGGCAAGAAACTGCTCTTGCCTGGACTGTTATATAAACTGGACACAGAGAACCCACAGAGAGAGGACTGCTGAACTTGCCTAAAGGTGAGATGATATTTCGGGGTTCCTGATTCATGAAAGAGTCTGCGAGACATTCTGCAGGACACAGCAGATAGTGACTGAATTGCCTTTGAAATTTCCTGCTTCATGAAAATGTCTCTGGATATTATGGGCCTGAAGGCTGAAGATGGGTGCCCCAACGATACAGAGGAACTTTGGGTAACTGTCCAGGCAGCGAGATGTCTCTGTCATTTCTAGAGTTTTGGAAGTTGCTCACTTCATGCTTACTTAGGTAATATATCCTTCTGGAGCCTTTGATGGAGTTAAAGAATGGATAGTAGTAGTTATAGTTTTCCATTATTATGATATAGTTATAAATATTGTGACTGTAATTCTTGCTTGATAACTGTTTTGTTATGTGTAATTTTACTATGTTAAAATGAAAGCCTTTCTTTTTTGTTTAAACAGAAAAAGGGGAAATGATGGAGGAGGGTTATCTGTCTATTGTGTTATTTTCATTGGTCAATAAAGAGACTGCCTTGGCCCCTTGATAGGACAGAAAATTAGGTAGGCGGAGTAAACAAAACAGAATGCTGAGAAGAGGGCTATGAGGCAGAAGCCATGGAGCCAGCCACCAGGTCAGACATGCTGAATCTTTCCCGGTAAGCCACACCTCGTGGTGTGATACAGATTAATAGAAATGGGTTAATATCAAGATATGAGAGTTAGTCAGTAACTAACTCTCTAGAGATAATGGGCCAGGCAGTGCTTAAATGAATATAATTTGTGTGTTGTTATTTCTGGGACTAAGCTAGCCGTGCGGGAGCCGGGTGAGGCGAAAAGCAGGCCTGCCCGCAGCCCCTTACTACAAAGGTTTCCAATGGCTCGGGTCCCTGCCCTCAGGTTCTTCCCTGTTGCAAGGAGAGGCGACTTGTTTGTCCCGGCTGCCTGGCTAGCTTACACCTGAAATAACCACACAGAAACTGTATTAATTAAAACACTGCTTGGCCATTAGCTCTAACTTCTTATTGGCTAACTCTCACATATTCGTTTAACCCATTTTTATCTATCTGTGTTTCACCACAAGGTCGTGAAAAGTTTTAGCACATCTACCTCCAGCCATGGATCCATGGCATCTCTCTGACTCTGCTTTCTTTCTCCCAGAATTCAGTTCTGTCTTCTCCGCCTACCTAAGTTCTGCCCTATCAGCTAGGCCAAGGCAGTTTATTTATTCATTAACCAATGAAAGCAAGACACAGACAAAAGACACTCCTACACCACTTCCTGCTCTGTTCCCTCTGTGACCTGAGAGCTCTCAACAAGGCAGGCCTCAGCAGACCCCACAACTGCGCTCCCTCCAGCTGCAGTCCCTCTCAACAGGAGTGTCTCAGCCTCACTTCTTTTTGGTTCCCTGTGTCTGTTGCTCTGTTTCCCCTTCTCCCATTCTGGGCACATTTTAGGTTCCTTTGGCACCTGTCTATTTTGTGCAGATTTTTTTCCTTCCTTTCAACCTAACTTTTGTCTAGGGGAGCTGTGGAGCTCACCTGTTTATGCTTATCTGTTGGTGGAGTTTTTCTGTCCCAAAGCCTGCCTCAGATAATCACTCAGAGGCTAAGATTAATTACAAATGCTCAGCCCATAGCTCAGGCTTATTACTAACTAGCTCTTATAACTTCAGTTACCCATTTCTATTAATTTATGTATTGTCACATGGCTAATGGCTTTACCTGTCTTCCAGCAAGTCTTGTTCTCTCTGAGTCTCCTGGCGACTACTTTGACTCCTCCTTTCTTTATCCTAGCATTTTCTCTGTCTCAGGATGCCTTGCCAAATTGCTTCCTGCTCAGTTTATTGGCCAATCAGCTTTTTTTAAAAATTAACAATGAAAGCAACACATACTTACAGTGTACAGAAGGATTGCTCCACATCACTTGTTCTGAGCAGGTGACCTCTGGCAGATCATCACCAGGGACTCTGTCACATCATTACCAGGGAAAACATTCACTGCCTCCTGGGCTTCCTAACTGACCTTCTCAGTTCCCATTTAACAGCACATTTCAGTCTTCTGTTTACTCGTCTGTCTCTTCCAGGACGAGGTGAGGGGCAAAGGGCACATTCTGGGTCCCCGACACTTTGCTTTCTGGACAATGACAAGGGTCATAAAGTGAGAAACTGACAATTTATTATTTGGGTCACAGCTGGGGCCCTCATAAGACAGAAGTTAACTCGCCCCCCAGGAAATAAAGGCAGGGCCCATGGTGGATTGTGAGCTGGTCACAGGAAATAATTCAATCAATAGCCTACCAAACAAATGCAGCCAGTTGGGAGACAGAGTAGATGGAGTGGCCAGGACAAGTGATCACTTCCTCTGATTTGGTTGCGGAGAGACATAATCAGGTATATGTCACTCCCTGGTTCAGCCTGCGATGAGTTCAGAATGACCAGTCCCAATAAAGATCGTGCAGAGAAACGTTCTTCTAAGTCCCACTGTGAGTTGCATAAAAGCCACTAATCTCGCCGTCACTCTGGGAATCCTTTCTCACTGTCCCTCTGTAAATATGACTTCCTCTTGACCACCCCTTACCATTGTTCTTTGGTGGGAGCCAGCAGACTTGGCAGCCACTGGCTTGTGGTGCCTTTGGTGGCTGTTCATTGTCTGTACCCTAGCTGCCTGAGTTAGGTTCCTCAAGAGCCGAGAAGGGCTCCTCAGAAGCCAGATTTGGCCACCCATCTCCAATTAAAGACATAATTTATAGGAAGGTAAGGCCTACTGGGCCAAAAGGAGTCATCCTGGAGTCTGCCTGGAGCGGTCAAAGGTCCTGTCTGTGCCTAGCCAATAAGAAGCGACCAAGTGGTATTTCCTGAGTGCCTAGCCAAGGAGAGATGAGTGTGAAATGCCAGCTGTCCGCGGATCAGAACGCCTGGGTGCTGGGAGGGTGTATACGTGTTTCCTCACTGTTAAATAAATGAGTCTGATATAAACCTTCTGCCTGACTCCTGGCATCTATGGTTGTTGATGCTGTGCCTTTTCACCCACTCCCCCCGAGGAAGATGTTATCACCCAGCGATAACAATTATCTGTGAAAAGCAGAAAAAAAGAGACTTATTAGATGGGGCCACATTGGGAAGAACATGAAGGTCCAATGATCCCTTAGGACAGTAAGTAGTTCTCAACCTGCGGGCCTCCACCCCATTTGGAGTTTATCCTGCATATAAGATATTTACATTACAATTCATAACAGAAGCAAAATTAAAGTTGCGAAGTAGCAACGAAACACTTTGGTTTGGGGCGACCACAACTTGAAGAGCTGTAGGAAAGGCTCGCAGCATTAGGAAGGTTGAGGACCACTGTCTTAAGTCCATCTTCAGGGTCCCAGCACGAAGTTTGGGTTCAAACAGAAAATGAGGAGTAGATAGCCAAGCAACCCTAGTTAAAGTGTGGACCATCACCCCGCCACATCTTCACTCTAGTCTTTCCTGCAGGGTGGTCTGGTATGTCAGAACCGAGATTTCTCCAGGAGACAGGCTCCCCCGCTGGCTGGCAGCAGGCTCCCAGTCTTTTTGTTCTTTCTGCACGAGATTCGTGGAGGCAAGTCCAATGCCTTGGAGACCATTGTTTCAATAGTCTGATAGGCAAAGGGAAGGGCCCAAGCATCTCTTTAGAATATCTTAATTCCTGACTGGAAAGTTACAAGGCTTTAAGGAAACAAGACAGCTTTGTGATGTCCCAGTGCTGAAGGTGCTTGTTCAGATGGGGTCTCCCTATGCAGTGCTGGCTGTCCTGTTACTCATGATGTAGACCAGGCAACCCCGAGAGGAGGTGGGCGCTGTGTCAACGACCCTGTCTGTGGCTCGGCACTTTTGAGCATGTGCTTTCCCCAAGCTCACTAACCCACTCCCAGTCTCAGGGGCGGCTTTTCTTAACAAACAACACTCTTTTGTGGTCTTGCTATAGAACCCTGGTACAGCTCTTTGTCCTGGGGCACAGTAACTCGGAAACTTCAGCCCGTGACCCTTGAACCCAGATCCACACCGCACGCCACTCTTACCATTCCAGAGGTCACAGCCTTGGAACCACCCAATCTTTAATTCTGAGCCTCCAATACTGTGATATAAGGAAACATTTCCCCCCATAAGTTTGTGCCTAAGATTCATTATACTAACACATTATACTAACACAAAGCTGACCAGCGCACCTGCCCAACACAGAGAGGAAAGTCACCTTCCTACAGACTCCAGCTGTTGCCCAAGTACGCCTGTGTGGGGAGGGAAACCACCACCTCCTCTAACTATGGTGTTTATGGCCTACTCATTTAGCTTCTAGGCACAGCCAATATTGCTGAATCAGAACAAGTCTAGAGATTTATTTTTAGGTAAAAAGATCTTTAATGGCCCTCTAAAATTATTAGCGTAGCCATAGTAATGAGCAAGACAGAAACCCAAACCCTCGACCTTTGACTTCTGGAAAGATTGACTTGGATCCCAGAGGTTAGAAACGAGAGTGGGGGGAGGGGTGGAGCGGCTTGCCTACGTCACTGTGTAATCAGGCCTCCTCGCATTGCTTTGTTTACCTATGTTTGGGGTTTTGAGACAGGGTGTCTGCTTTGCAGCACACACTGGTTGTGAACTTAGCCTCTCGAATACGTGGGTTACCTGCATGCAACTTCACATCTAGATCTCATGCTGGGCATTATTCATGATTCACACATCTGTCTTCTTTGAGGGAGAGGACCTTTGATCCAGAGAGACACCTGAGCTACTCTTTAGTATCTTAAATGCAGGGAAAGCACGTACGTGGTAAGTACCGCAAAGTTACGGCCATCGTATCAGCGGGGTGAACGTTCGTTCACCACATTGCTCTGCTGACCATCCTCTGTTCTCATGCTGTGTTTTGAGAAATGGCTCACTGGGTAATGATGCAAATGGAAGTTGTTTTGCATGTGTGTGTGTGTGTGTGTGTGTGTATGTGTGTGTTTGTGTGTGTGTGTATTTGTGTGTGTGGATGACTTTGGGTATTATTTCTCAAGCACTGTATTATTATTATTATTATTATTATTATTATTATTGAGACAGGGTCTCTTATTAGCCTGGAGCTCTCTGAATTCAGGACCTTCTGCCGGCAAGCATTTTACCAACTGGACCACCCCGACTCCCCAGCCCCCCAACCCCATTCAAGAGTTACTTTTTTTTTTTGTTTTTTTTGTTTTTTTGTTTTTTTGAGACAGGGTTTCTCTGTAGCTTTAGCCTGTGGAACTAGCTCTTGTAGACCAGGCTGGCCTCGAACTCACAGAGATCCTCCTGCCCCTGCCTCCCGAGTACTGGGATTCTTTAATGCACTACCACCACCCGTCAGGAGTTGCATTTTTAAGATTCAAACTGAACACTTGTGGCATTATGTTTGGATTCCAGGCAGGAAGATACACTGCTGGACAGACCTGGATCCATCATCTCTGGTTCTGGGCTGAGGTTGGGTGTGTGCCCTAAGCTTGACCAGGTGGAATATTGCCTAGGTATATATATATATTTTTAAATTTTTTATTATTATAAAGATTTACTTATTATATATTCAGTATTCTCAGTACTCTGCCTGCTGGCCAGAAGAGGGCACCAGATCTCATTACAGATGGTTGTGAGCCACCATGTGGTTGCTGGGAATTGAACTCAGGACCTTTGGAAGAGCAGGCAGTGCTCTTAACCACTGAGCCATCGCTCCAGCCCCTGCCTAGGTATATTTTAGAAGCAGAAGCTAGAGGAAGGGAGAAGACTGTTTCTACTCTCTTTGATTCTAGGAAAATGCAAAGGACTCTTAAGTGGCTGTGGCTCTTGCTTTGGGTGGGAGAGGCGGCTGCGAGAAGGAAGTCAGTCAGCAGAAAAGAGCAGCTGAGGGGGAGGGACGCAGACGGGAGGGAGAGGTCTTTGATGGGTTTGATTGGTTCCCATTGCTCACATGGCTTCTTTCTCCAGGAGTCTGGCTTCAGGAAAGAAGACAGTTTTCCCCTTTGTTGCTTTGGAAGCTAATGTTTTGCCACTAATGGTGGCTAGGGTTCTAACACAGGTGGATTTTGTTTTGCTTTGTTAGCCTAGCAAGTTTGGCCAGGGTGTCTTCTCTATGCTAGAACACAGGAGAGGTCCTATCATCGCTGTGAGCAGATGTCTCTAAGCATGTTCTGTGTTTATTTCCCTCAAGTTCTACTTTGGCATTCACCATGTGTTACTTATTAAATGGTAAATTGGAAAAACCAAGGTAGAGACTCAGAGCCAACGGCAGGGTCAACTTCCTCCAGCTCCCAGGTTGTCTTTAACTGGGAAGTAATGTAGTTATATTGGAATCTCAGAAAATAAAAGAAATAATTTTAAAAAAATGAGTTAAGTCAGACATGGGGGCAATAGACCTGTAATCCCGGTACACAGGAGCTCAAAGCAGGTAGAGAGGTGACCAGAGCTGACCCCTACTGCCCTGATATTTCAGACTAATAGGGTGAACTGTGTTCTGGAGATTTAGATGAATTTGAAGAGTAGAAAGAGGACATAGTTCCAGCTTTAAACCTGTGGGCTGGGATAGTTGGCTCAAGCACTGGATGAAGTCTCCAAGGGAGAGCGTGATTTTAAGTTTCATGATTTGGCAAAGTCAGTCTGTCACTATTGGGTGGGAATAGGAATAATGAGATTTTTGTTCAGTTTTGTTCTGGGTTTTGGAAGAGATATTGTAGAATTCTTTGGTCTTAACTAAATGAGTGGAGATTGGAACTAGGAAAGGAAGACATTGGCCAAAGGTATCAGTTTCTTCTATTTATCTATCTATCTATCTACATATATACATATCTATCTATCTATCTATCAATCTATAAATCTATCATTTTTCCTTTTATTGAAAATAGACCTTTTCCTCACATAATATATCCTGATTATGGTTTCTCCTCTCTTCATTCCTTCCAGTTCCTCCCCACTCCTCTCCCATTCAGATCCATCCTGGCTCTGTCTCTCATTAAGAAACAGACTTCTAAGGGATGATAATAGAATAAAATAATAAGATGAAGCAAAAATCAATACACCAGAATTGGACAAAACAAACAAGCAGAAGGAAAAGAGACCAAGAGAAGACATAAGAAGCAAAGACCTTGTCTGCACACTCAGGACTACCATAAGAAAACTAAACTGGAAGCCGTAATAAATATGCAAAGGATCTGCAGGTTTAAAAGAGAGGAGAAAAATATAAGTAAAATAAAATAAAAATAATAAGACTTTTTTAAATGAAGAACTCTAAAAGACATTATGAATCAAGGAAGCTCCAAAGAGAGGGTTGAGTTAATTTTCTGTTGACCATCTACTGCTGGGCCTATTGCCTACCCTTAAGAATAGTTTGTTTCTTCAGTAAGACTCCCTTGGAGGAAAGTAAATTTTCAAATTTTCACTTGCAAGTGGTTATCAATTGGAGATATCCTCTGGGTTGGAGATGGGGGCATGTGTCCCCTTCTTTCATTTCTAGGACCCCATGTGGTATAGACCCATGCAGGCCCTGTGCATGCTGCCTCAGTTTCTGTGAGTTTATATGTGCATTAGTGCATCAATCATGTTGGTTTAGAGGGCCTATTTTTGTGTGTGTGTTCTCCCTGCCCTCTGGCTTTTGAACTGTTTCACCTTCTCTTCCACAGGCTCCCTGAGTCCTGAGGGAAGGAGTTTGATGGAGACATCCTTGTTCTGATGTCTCTCACCCTCTGTATGTCTGGCTATGGCTTTAGTTTTTGTTGTTTGATGTTTGTTTTATTTGATTAGAACAGTAGTATTTGGTTTTACCCTAGATCCCTGAGCTAAATAGTCTCAGGTTCTTGGTCATCTGAGCGATGTTGGGTATGGGTTTCATCTCACGAAGTGGGTCTTAAGTCAAATCAGATATTGATTGGCTACTCCCATAAGCTTTATGCTACACTTGCGTTAGCATATCTCGCAGTCAAGACACCATTGTAGATCAAAGGGTTTATGACTGGGTTGGTATAGACAAAAGCTTCTGTCTTGCCTTGTCCCACAGTCATTCAGTCTCAAAAAAACACACAGGGGCTTATGTTAATTATAAACTGTTTGGCCAATTGCTTAGGTTTATTACTAACTAGCTCTTACAGCTTAAATTAACCCATAATTCTTATCTGTTTAGCAACATGACTTGGTACATTTTCTCAGTAAGGCATTCTTATCTTGCTTCCTCTGCATCTGGCTGGTGACTGGGTCTCTGCCTTTCCTCTTCCCAGAATTCTTCTGAGGGTGTCAGGTTTTGGAGTTATGGTTATGAGCTCCCATATGGGTGCTGGGAATTGAGCAGTCAGTGCTTTTAACTGCTGAACCGTCTCCCCAGCCTCTCATTTCGTTTTCTAACAGCTGAGTATACACCATTGTATACATGTACCACATTTTCTTTATCCATTCTTCTGTTGAGGGACATCTAGGTTGTTTCCAGTTTCTGGCTGTTACAAATAAAGCCCAAGAGAAGTAGAGCTGGATCTTGCTGTAGATCGATTCCTATCTTCCTGAGGAACCAGCGTTTCACAGAGTTTGTACCAGTTTACACTTCCACGAGCAATGAGTGAGTTTAATGATGCAAAGATGTGTTGCATTCTTTTATGTTGCATTTGGCTAACTCTGTGAAGCTGTGTTACCTTACCTACCTAAAACACCTGATTGGTTAAATAAAGAGCTGAAGGGCCAATAACTAGGCAGGAGAAAGGACAGGCAGGGCAGGCAGGCAGAGAAAATAAATAGAAGAAAAAATGTGGGAAGAGAGTGTTGAGGAATGGGAAAGGAAGGAGGACATCTGGCTGTCACCCAGCTACCCAGCAAACCACAGAGTAAGAAGTAAAGAAAAGTATATAGAATAGAAAAAGGTAAAATCCCAGAAGCATAAAGATAATTTAAGAAAAGTTGGCTATAAATAAGTAAAGCTAAGGCCAGCCATTCATAAGAAAGAATAAGTCTCCATGTGATTATTTGGGAGGTGAGTGGTGGCACCCATCTAAGGAGCAAAGAGAAAAAAAAACCCAAAAAAACCAACAAATAAAAAAGAACTACAAACCAACTCTTGTTTCTTTGGTTGTTTTTATTGTTTTTATTTTTGTTTCTATTTTATTGATTTTAGTCTTGAATTTGATTATTTCTTGCCGTCTACGCTTTTGAGTGTGATCTTTTTCTTTTGGTTCTAGAGCATTCAGGTGTGCTGTATAAGTTGCTAGTATAAGATCTCTTCAATTTTTTAAATGTAGGTTCTTAGTGCTGTGAGTTTGCCTCTTGGAACAGCCTCCATTTTGTCCCATAAATGTAGGTATGCTACATATTCATTTTCATTCACTTCTAGAAAGTCTTTATTTTCTGTCTTGACCCCTTTCTTTTGGTGTTGCTGAGTAGAGTGTTTCAGTTTCCATGAGTTTGTAACTTTTCCATTGTTTCTGGTGTTGGTATTGGGGTTTAATACATGGTGGTCAGCTAGGATGCAGGATATTTCAGTTTCTTTGTATTCAATCTCCTGTTGAGACTTCCTTTGTGTCTAAGTGTGTGATCAGCTTTGGAGAAAGTTCCATGAGGTTCTGAGAAGAAGGTATATTCTTTTGTGTTTAGGTAAAATGTTCTTTATATATGTTAGAGTCATTTGATTTATCACTGCAGTGAGCTTCAGCATTTTGCTGCTTAGTTTTTGTCTGGATGACCTGTCTATTGGCAAGAGTTGGGTAGTGAAGTCTCCCACTGCCAGTGTGTGAGGGTCAATATGTGGTCTAAGCTGTTCAAGTGTTTCTTTTACAAACTTCAGTTCCCTT